AATATGGGCTCTGAATGATTAAAGCTCGTGGGAGGGGGTGGATGTAGTGTGCTGGGACAGATGAGTGAGCTAAGCTCGAGGGGCAACCCTTTGAGCTCTGTGTGTTTCTATGTCCAGCATGAGTTGTGGGTTTAACAGCTGCTCCATATGTCTGGATTTATGGTGTTTTGAACAAACGACTCTGGTTACTTTTTTGAATATTGAGAGTCATTACAATCACTGGTAGCTCTGCTGCTGATGAGTGCTATTTTAAGAACATGCATGGCATCCGGTCGCACATGGGGACTGTGTTAATGGTTCTTATGATTGATTATTTTTATGATTCATGGGTTGATAACATGAGATAATGTAACCATGCTATGGCTTAGCTTCACCTGTCACATCTTTCTTGCAAAAAAAAGGTAGCTTGCAAAGCTGTAGCACCTGTGCTACAAAAAATATTAAAATCACTTTTTTTCATTGCACGTGCAACATAAACGTCAAACTGTGCAGCCCTGTGACCTGTGCACACTGCCTCTATGACTGCTGGATGTTGGAATCAGCTTCCCTGAGACCCGGAAAGAAAAAGCAGGAAAAGAAAAGGGATTGGTGGATTGAACTTTAGATAATTTTATTGGCTTTACATTAATCCTCGAAGAACAGGAATTAAATAGATTGTTTTTCCTCTTCAGGGACAGAAAATCTAACTTGTGTTTGCTCCAAACTCAGGGTTTAGCAGGAAGGCCAGGAGAAAAGGGATCACCTGGAGAACCTGTGAGTACACACAGAAGATGCTGTCAAACTGCTTTGAACTTCTTGTAGCTCTAAAGTCTTCTGTTGGTTGAACAGCTGCAGTTCAAAGAGCTTTTCTAGGCAGTCAATCCCTCAGCATAAAATGAGAAAAGAAGCTTCTGTGACAGTAATTGGTAATAAAAACCTCCTGACACCTGCCACTTGTACAAACTACAGGTAGTGGCTGAGTGGTTAGGGGAGTCGTTCCTCTAATGGAGTTCAGTTCCACCACGATTCTGTCACATGTTGTGGTGTTCCTGGCAGTGGTGGGCAGCGCTAATCCAAAATTTAGCTCCATAATTTCTAAAGGCTTATGAATTTATTTAGGTCCACAACTTCAAACGTACTTATGCCATAGACACATTAGCAGAAGCTAATTTTAAAGCACAAGTTCAATTTGACACTTATTAGCTGACAATAATTCATGTACAATATATGTACAACACTGCCAACTAGTGGTGTATGAACTCT